CTGATGACCGCGGCTACGACTTCGCTCTTGACTGAAGCTCATCTTCATGGACGAGACGGTGTTTGGGAAATTGCATGTGCCCCACACAGCTGGCTCAGTCAAGCTTGCGAAGAACATCACCTGAAGCCTCGGAGGATCAACTTGGCTTCTGGTTACGACCTCTACGACGCCTCTACTTGGTCTCGCCTCACCGACTTGAGGCGACGACACAAGCCACAACGAATGTGGTTTTCCCTTCCTTGCACCAAGTGGAGCCAGTGGTCTTCGGTGAACTACAACACCGAGGAGAAGCGCAACAAACTGGAGACAGCCCGACGGCGAGAGCGCCGGATGCTATGGTTTGTCAACAAGTTCCTCAAGGAGACCTTGGACGAGGACCCCGACGTCGAGATCTACTACGAATGGCCATGGCCGTGCACCGGCTGGCGACAACAGCCCTTGGTGGATCTATCCGAGGATCTACATCGTCGTGGTCTTCCTTGGTTGGACTGCAGGATTGACGGATGCAACTATGGGATGCGCAACGAAGCTACGGGACAGTTTGTGCGGAAGCGGGGGTTGGTGAAAACTACCGATGAACGCTTCCACCGGTTCTTCAAGGCCAAGATCTGTCCTGGCAACCATGGTCAGCATTGCACCCTGGAAGGCTTGGAGACTACCAAGTCGGCGTACTATCCCTGGAAGATGGTGCAATCTATAGCTCGTCATTGGCAGCAACAGCTGGTACCAGAACGGCATCTACAACTACTTGAACACAAGGTGGACCAACCAGCTGCCCAGGAAGAGTTCCTTCAGATGATGGATGAGAACACTGCACCAAGTGTTTTGGATGAGTTTCAAGATGACCACCTCCTATCGGAGACCGACCTGGAAGTGTTTTCTCTGATGTCGAACTCTTCAGAGGCCATGGCCCGAGAAGCACGAGCTGCCAAGGACTACAGCTATCAGACCATGGAGAATGTTTTGATGGAGGTGCACCGCAATCTGCAGCCCCTTGCCTCCAACAACCGTCGTTGGGGCAACTCCGACACCACAAGGCTTCTTCTGGGTGGTTACTCCCATGGTGCGTTTGCTGGGTTGACCAAAAATACTCAACGACATCAAGAACTCACGCACTATATCAACGACTACCTGGCGCACCATGCACCTCACCATGCCTGGACGAGCCTCATGATTTCCTTCAACTGTGGAACGACTGTACATCAGGACCACCACAACCTCACGGGCTCTCAAAATGTTCTTCATTGTCTAGGCAACTTTGAGCATGGAGGCCTGTGGCTACAAGGCACACCACCTGATGGCTTTGAAGTCACCCGACGGCGACTGATGGACGGCAACTACAGCAACGGCTATGTGGTGAATGCTCGCTACAGGTTTGTGACCTTTGATCCAAAGATTCCGCACGCTACGCAAGCATGGCGTGGATTCCGCATCGCTATCAGCTCCTACACCACAAGGCTTCTGCCTCAGATGACAAGGGAGGACAGGGCCCAGCTTCGACGACATGGTTTCCGACTGACGTCCTCTACTACGACCTTCTCGATGAATCAAGCTGTGATGATGCCAGTGGAGGCGAGCCCACTGGGAGGACAAGATGACGATCAGTCTGTCTCGAATGAGGAGCGCGAGCGATGGCAGGCTCAGGTCGCCAAACTACACAAGGCGGCTGGTCATCCGACCAACCGCAACCTGGCGAAGATCGTGAAGGATGCTGGGCACCCTGCATGGAAGGTGCGCGTAGCATTGGAACATCAATGCCCTGCATGCC